CATGTAACTGTGTCAGGTTTAAAATGTTAGCATTTCACGTTGATTCTCAGGCATTGTGGGAATGAACATGACCGGACGTCCTCATCGGGGAAATAAGATGGTACCGTTGCGGAGGCTGGTGGCCACCACTCCAGTCTCCATTAGTCTCTTGTCACATCTCACACCCAGACCCTGGAGTCGCTAAACCACTGTATTGTCAGAACTGTGACTGCCCTATTTTCCAGAAAAATCAAAATAAAATTCTGTACCCAGTGTTTTTCCTCCCTAATAGTCTTCTCTTTTTCATCAGCAGTCCTCGGTCCCACTTGGGATTAACCCTCTGTAGTGCGGACCTCCTACTGCCCTAACTAACACGTGTTCAGATAAGACTAACTCTGGACTAGCTACTAACTGACCAAGAAGTTCTCGATCCATTACACCTCTGGGGCATGGATAGTCTATGCTAACTGACGTGATAAGTAAACTCTGATGGAAAAAGATGGTCAGCCTACCAGAGCTGAACTTTCTGTCTTTTTACGCTAATCATCTCTAGCGTGGTATGTAAACAAGGAACATGGAGCATGGCTATTCTTTATACTTTAAAAGCACATCTGGAACTGTTTGAACTAACGAAAAGTAAAATAAGTGCCACGGCAGATTATGGCATACCTTTTCCTTTTACTAAAAAACAAAAAAGGAAATGGAAAACACACTGCTTCTAGGAGACCCTGACACTGAAATGGTATCCGTAATGTATTTATATATGCCACACTTTCTTCCATGCTCCAGCCATCTTTCGTGCATGTGCGTTGGATGCGTGCCATGTGAGTTTAAATATTACCACATACAGAAAACCTTGTTTAGAAGTGGTGTGAACCATTAAGGCAAAGGCAAGGGCAGTTCTTTTGATTATACGGACCTCGCTGATCTGATAGAAATTGTTTCTTTTTTTCCCCCTTTTATCATTTTGTGTCCATCTGTCAATAAATATCAGCGTTTTCCCACGGCAACTAAAAATAGAAATTATGTGCAAGAACAATATAATTTTCATGAACTTAAAAATTACATAAGAACTATTACAACAATATTGGTTTTAGTACATCTTCTAATTTGAAATGGAGTGAAATGCTTCTGTGGTTAAATCAGCTTTTTTTACTGTTTACTATAAAAATTTCAAGAATATATATTTCAAAATGTTTTTTTAATTCAAAACAAATGCAGCAGAACTCAGCATACTTGAAACACATTTTCTGAATTTATTTTAAATCTTTTTACTCCAGAGAGTTTTGTGTGTGTGCGAGGGTTAGGCCTGACTGGTCATTTCACCATCTATCTCCATCCTGGATTGATTGCACTGAACAGCCTGGAATGAGTTACATATGGTCCCACTTTGTTGAAGTTTGTAGGGCCCCTGGGTTGGAACTCCATTTGATCAGAGAAAAGCTAACCATCTCAGAAGTTTGGCTAATGTCGAAACCTTGGAGATCTGCGTATATTCCAGTTAGAATGTATACGTTCTTGTTAGGAGTTGTGGTGGTTTGCTGTGCATCGGCTTAGCTGTTACTGCTCCTAAAATAATGGATGAGCAATTTCAAGAATTTAAAATCACCTGCCACCCGGCCAGCGTGGCTCAGTGGTGGAGCATCGACCTGTGATCCAGGAGATCGTGGTTCGATTCCAGGTCAGGGCACATGCCCAGGTCGCAGGCTTGACTCTCTCATCGCCGATGTTTCTGTCTCTCTCTCTCTGTCTCTCTCTGAAATCAATAAAGGCATATAAAAAAAAAAAATCNAGGCTTGACTCTCTCATCACCGATGTTTCTGTCTCTCTCTCTCTGTCTCTCTCTGAAATCAATAAAGGCATATAAAAGAAAAATCATTTCCCTACCTATTATGATGCTGCTGCTGCTGATTTTCTGGATAGAATTACGTCACAAATATGGACCAAGACACGTAATCAAAACGTCTTCAAATCAAAATCACGATATGTGAAAATTTTTTAACACTGGACAGATGAAGACAGACCTACAAAGGTTATCTGAAGTCCGTAAAGCAACCCATTGTCATCTCTGTAGTATATTTTATGTCTTTTTTCTATTAAAAAAATAAAGCATGTGGGTTTAAGGTACGTTTTCAAGCTTAGGTTCTGGTCAAGAGCTAGGCCAAGCGAAGGAAGGAGGGGCCCGGGGCCCCTAAGGCTCGGCGTCTAGCTGCCGAGGTTAACAGAGCTGCCCAGGGCCAGTTTCCCCTCCTTAGGCCCTGCTCCCCGTTTGGGTCCCTCTTCCTTCTCTGTCCCTTTACTCCTTTGCTTTTAGTTTTCCGCGCCCGCCCCGCCCCGCCCC